GCATCAGAATCCTCATATCCTCCGCTTTCAGAAAATATGTGATTCATTGAAGAAAAGTATTTATGCAAGGGTAATGATATATTTGTACTATGATATCCAGGAGAAGCGAAGAGAGGATTCTGAATCGTCCGTATGTTGCAACTCGTTTGCAAAAAAAGAAGTTACAAGCGCTTTATCCAAGAGGCATGGTCCAATTGGATGCCTAGAACTCCCTCGAAATCAAGTCACTCTGAAGTTCTGCTAAGTTAATGAGGGAGCTTGCCTCAATACTGCTAATACCCTCACGTCTTTTAGTGGGTGCTTTTATGAGGTTTCTGACGAACAAGCAGCTGGGTGGTGCAGGCTGACTTACACAATCTTAGGTATTTTTTGACAGATTGGAGTGAAGTACTACTATTACATATCATTTGAAAGAGGAGCTCCTCTTTTTTAATGTATACTCTTGCAACTGACGACAATAAACAGCACGCTTTCCACTCCAAAAATGGTCTAAAAGGACCTCAAATGATATCTCATTATGTAACAGTTTTGTGTCAGAATTATTCGTCACAATTCTTCTGCAAAAATAGCTTATTAATGGATAATTTTCAAGATCATATTGTTATAATGCGAACAATTCAAATGTGTGTTTACCGTCCTTCTTAATTTTATGTCCATGCATTCAACGGACCTGCAAATAAGCATACAAGATGGTTTTCATCTTTTCAAAGTATTCTTATTACTCAATATTGCATAGAAACTTTGATGGTACTAAAACATTGCCCTCCCCCGATCAAAGACTCCATTCACCTAGAAAGGTACAATTGATTTGAGCCCTTCATCCGGAGAGGCCAATATTTACCTTATCGCATGTTTGATGTAAACTATTCATGTTATTATGGATTAGGCGCACTGTCCATATGATCTACAACAGAGATTACTATTTTGCCTTGATGTCATTATTGTGAGTGATGAAAGAATGATATAGGTACTCAAGGATTAAAATAAAACAGATACCAGGGGAAGAAAAATTAGGAAAGGAATTCATAGAGGTAAAACCATTACCCTCGGTACTCTGACACCCATGATTTTTTGGAGGGCGCGCAGTATAGGGATGCTTGGTTACCTGAACGAAAAGTGCTGCAAAAACCTAACGGCCTAGCACTCAACTGCAGTCTTCTGAGCTTCGAAAACCGACACCTTATACACTAGGCCACAAGGCCATACTACTAAAAACCATGGAAATTTATGGCAATCTTATATACTTTTCAAACCGCATTACACTTCTGCTCAATTTAACAAACGGGCATTATAATTGAGCGGGGAGTAAAACCATGAATTATTAAAAGTCACTTGCTTTGTTTGGCTATTTATGAAACGAGTAATAGTACTTCCAATATTAGTTAAGAAGCTCGAAAAGAGAGCCGACTGAGCGAAATATCTTGGATGTTGCCTTCGATGCCATTGGGAGGAGCAGAGATCGGAAGGGCAGAGAGGACAGTCCCAGTATCTGTTCGCCTGATCGCATCATAGGTCCTTCATAGGAGATGATCATCTCATTCCATGTTCTAGGAGCTCACACCTAAATACCTGGAAAGTTAGAAGATCTATTTAACAAGATCCACAGCCAAAACCCATCAAGGAAATGCTAGTCGGAATCAGTAATAAAAAAAACTGTTTAAGGATCTGGGCAGCCCTCTTGACGGGCGTTTTAGTGGAACATGTTATATGCGTCTTCATGATATTGTTTCTTATGTGATAAGCGCAAAATCCAAAAAAGACAATATATTTGCACTTTTGCTAGAGATCGTAAATTCCCTCGGTCCACTGAAAAATACTCAGCAGCAAGGGAATATTTGTTTCATGCCT